CCCTGAGAGATCCAGCGAAGTGGAATTGAACCCAACCGGGACCTCGCGTATCCCTGGGTGGCTGCGAATTGCGCAACTGCCGTCACTTTCGTGGCCCTCTGGGAGGTCCAGCGGAATGGAGTTGTACTAGCACCCAACCGGGATCTCGCGGCTACCTGGGTGGCTACGACTTGCGCAACTGTTGCCACTTCCGTGAACTTTTGGGACATCCAGCGACATGGAGATGTACGCGCACCGAGCTGAGATCTCGCGGCTCCCTGGGCGGCTGCGAACTGCGCAACCGTCGCCATGTTCGTGGCCCCCTGGGAGGTCCAAAGGAATGGAACTATATATACGAGCACCAAGCCGGGATCTCGCGGATCCCTGGGCGGCTGCGAACTGCGCAACCGTTGACACTTTCGTGGCCCCCCGGGCAGTCCAGCGGAGTGGAGATATACAAGCACCCAGCCGGGATCTCGCGGCTCCCTGGGCGGCGGTGAACAGCGCAGCTGCTGAGGCACGGCGGAGGTGAGGGCAGCGAGTATCACTTCGAGACCTCGCTGCTCCCTCGGGGGCCGCACATGTGAGCGGCTGTCGCCTCTTTCGTAGGCTCCTGGGAGGTCAAGCAAGAGTTGAGGCCCACGCAGGCTCCCCCGAGACCTCGCGGCTCCTGGCGCACGGATGGGGTGTTCCTGCGCACCGCGGGTCCGTCAACGTGTTCGTTCGTGTTGAGCGGTACAGTCGGGGCGTTGACCTAAGGAACCCTAAATAAGATACGAGGCCCCTTTTTTCCATACATTAAACTTCGATTTCCCATCGAAAACATCAGGAAAACCTGAGGCAAGCTGCGAAACAATCAAGAAACACGGAGCCCCTCCCCAACGAAAAGAATTCCTTCTTCAGGGCCGCGACTGTATTGGGTACAGTCGCCCAAATGTTTAGAAAGGGTTGGGTACGTCGCAGGGTACTTTCACTTTGCTGACGGCAGGAGGCCGCACATCCCACCTACGGGCGGCCACCCAGGGTATCCAGAGAAGCTCCAAGACATCCGACCCATTCGCCGCCCCCTCTTCTCGCCTGGGCCGAACTCACGATGGTGAGAGGGGACTGGTGCCTCAAGGTAAACACACATCTTTTCCCGGCCCGTCTCCCTGGGCCGTCGCGTTCCCCATCCCCGTCGCTGGTTTGCATCCCTGTCTGGCGACGCTCGCTCAAGCACTGCTCGACCCGGATAAATCAGGAGGGGCACCGCGGTTGCCGTCTCACAAGTCTGGAGTTGTCACCAGGCCATCGACACATGCCCAAGACCATTCATATTCAATAGCCCAGAGCCCCAAGAAGCTGTCAACGCAACCAAACTGCACGTCCCAGACATGGTCTGGTCATTTATGAGGATCCAAGTGCTGACTCTCGCCCCAGGGCAGAAACACGTAATAAAGAACGCAGGCCCGCTTGTGGTGCACTGACAAAGCTGAAGGACCGCGTGGGCCCAAGAAAGGCGGCTCAAGAACCTCGGATCCACGCAAGAACTCGCCGCCGAACTTTCATGAACCAGAACCCAGAACACATGGTTTACTAAACGGCCCTGGGTCAATCGGATAGCAGATAACATCATGTCCCACCAACAAAATCAACGCTTCGTAAGTGAACCAGAGAAGCTGGGTAAACTATCTGAACACCAGCCTGGGATCTGGAGGAAATGCCACGAGCCGACACTCGTGGGCCGCAGACGGCATTGATCATGTTGCTTGAATTGCATGGGTGCTTTTCCAGGGAGCGGTGTGGACACTACAATGTGATGGGTTTTGATGTGATCAAGGGTGGAGGTTAGTAACCCGACATAGATCTTAAACACGTGTGCCTGAAGACAACCTTACCGCCAGCGTAGTCGTATATGTGAGCTCTCTTCTTTTCTAAACTGTAGCGCCGACAACACGGAGGAAGCATCAGGAACCTGTGCCACGACACGTCCAACGTTGACGCGTCGCTGAAACTCCAAGCCTCATATGAAATTGTAGTGTTTCTTGATCGGTGCGGTCACGTCCCAGACGCAGGTCATGCCATCGGGGAAGGTGACGAAGTCTCCCGCGCACACCCTTGTTGGCCTACAGGCCGCCCACTTCTTCGTCGGGGTCACCAGCACCTCACCTTCCAGCACGTACGCCTGCTCCGTGCCGCTGTACTGCCAGTCAAACTTGGAGACGTCACAGCCCCACGTGCCCCAACCTCGACGGCCCCGCGTTGACCTCCAGCAACGCTAACCCCCTCAATAGAACTGTCTGGAGACAAGCATCGGCCTCCTCGGCATCGTGGACGTCTGGTGACTTTGCTGGGGTGGTCGGCGAGGATGGGTGTCGCAACCAGCCTCGAAACTATCCGTATCCCTACGATCGGGAACCCAAAGGCGATGACAACCTTAGGGATGTGCCCTCAGGAACTGCGGGATTCTGTAATATTGGCATACATCAATATCAGGTGATGCCCATCAGAGGGATAAGGATATGCTCCAGGCTGGAAGGATGTGGGGGTCGAGGCGGGCCCGCTGACAACCAGAGATGCCGTGCTGTTTCTCCGCGTCCTCCTTGGACATCTTCTGCACGACGATCTCGGGCATCGCCTCGGCCGTCACCTTGGGCTCCTCGGCCTTGGCCTCGGGTTCCGCCTCTGGCATGGCTCCCGCGGTGAGCGCCGATCCCCTCCGGAGCTTCTCGGTCGCCCTGCTGATATCAGGGCGCAGAGGGAGGGAGAACAGGGGAGGGAAGAGGAACAAGCAAAAGGGGATGGAAGAAGAAGAACGGAGGAGGGACGAGGAAAGAGGAAGAATGAGAGCAGGAAGGTGGGCGGAATGGTGAAGGGAAGGGGGAGAAGGGATGGAGGGGGGAAACGAGCAGTGGGAGGAGGAGTGGAGGGAGAGGAGAGGTGGGGGTGGAGGGGGAGGAGGGGTGGGGGGGGAGGAGGAGGTGAGGAGCGTCATGGGACGCCCACTTTGGTTCAAGAAATGGCCTGTGGGGGGGAAGGATGAGGGAGGAGAAGGGGAATGAGAGGGTGCACGGGAGAGGATGACATGAGGAGGCGCAGCAGGATCAAGTGGAAAGGAGGAGGAACGCGAGGAGGATGCAGAGGAATGAGGCGATGAATGAAGCGGGGGAGGCGCAAGAGGAGAAACATGAAACGAATGATAGGGAGGCCAGAAAAAGTTGAAAAGGAAAAGGAAGGCTGGGAGACGGAAGGGGAGGAGGAGACGGAGGCGACGGAGGAGGATGGGGACCTAGCTGTTCAAAACAGCCTTGACGGTTGAAAGCAAGAGCTTCCTCCACATCAGACGGCCTCTGAACCCCACCAGCCCCAATGGCGTTTCGCCAAGAACCTCCCCTTCCCCACGGCGCCACGCTTTCCACCCCCCCCCCGACTGGATGTGTCTCGGGAGCTTGCTCGAGCTCGAGCGGCCCCTGAACCTCACCAGCCCCCCCAGCGTTGCGCCCAAAACCTCGAGGAGATCACCCCTCCCCCTTCCCCACGGCGCCACGCTGCCCTTTGTGGGCCCCGGAAACGGCAGGGCCGTTTTTTCACCGTTTCTGTCCCTTGAAAATGGAAACGGCAACAAAAAGGGCGACCGGAAACGGCAAAAAACGGCTCCAGGATTGGAACCGGAGCTGGAACCGATCAAAAAACGGCGACGGAACCGGTAAACAAACGGCGTCGGAACCGGCAAAAAAACGGCAAAACGGAACCGCCAACAAAACGGTCCTGTCGTTTCCAGGGCCCACCAAGACGCTGCCCCACCCCCCGACTGGACGTGTCTGGGGCGATCTGGCGCCGTGGCTTCCCCGGGCCGGCCGCGGGGAGAAGAGGGCGAGGCACGCCCAACCATCGACTGCTCGGCGGAGCCTCGTGCTGCTTCTCGCCATCGCTCGGACGTCCATTTTTTGTGTTTTGTTAGGTTTCGTGCGTGGTTTTTTCGCCAAGTGGTCAAGGATGCTCCTCGATGGTTCTCGCCGAGAAAAAAATGCACACGTACGAGCGATGCCAAGGCTTTTGGAAGGCCCGTCGGAAGGTGGGCGAGGGCTGCTAACACCGTGGCTGCCAAAACGGCCCTCCCAGAAAGGAAAAAACAACTTCCCGGAACGAGGCGCGGCGCGCGAAACAGTCCACGGGCTCCTTCCAGGAAGGACGAAGACAGCTTCCTGGCGGTCGACTTTAGCAGCCACGGATTTAGCAGCCCTTGCCCAGCTTCCGAGTCTGGGGGGGTGCTCTTGGGACTGCTCTGAACCTGCAGTCGGAGCTCGACCAGAAGAATCCTTCCACGAGAAACCCAAACCCTGAGACCCCAGGGCGTCCATCGATACGTGGTGCTGGGGCGTCGCGCTTTCCAAAGCAAAACCATCGGAACCCAAGAAACCCAGGGCACCCTGGAGGCAAGCAGGGTGTTTCTTGGCATTGGTTTCCATTGCATTTGGCGGAGCCTCGTATCTGAGGGTTTGGGGGGGGGGTGCTCTTGGACTGGCTTGAACATAGTTTGTGGTGCCCTTGGTGCCCTGTTGGGGCTCTGTTGAAACTCGTTCTTGAGGCTACCTTGGGGTTCTGTTGTCGAGACTCCTTGGATGCTGGGAAGCCCTCCTGGGGCCGAACGGCGATCCGCGTCGCGTCGAGTGCAGGTGGTGTTGTTTGAAGGGGCCCTGGAACACACAAATAAATACACACAAATAAAATGATTCCCAATCTTGTCCTATAGTTTCTGGGTTTTTGTCTTCCCGCCCAATTCCCATATGTTCCCATATTTTCCTGGGATTCGACGATTAATTGTGTCTGTGTGTTTCTTTCCCTCCTGATTGTTTGACTTTTCGCGATTTCGAACTCACTCGGACCCCTCCTGGACGCCTTGGGGGCCCTCTTGGAGGCCTCCCTACCTGTCTTTAGCCTTTCCTGGGCCTCCCTTTGGTGATCCCTGGGCCGTGCTGAAGCCTTAAGAGGTATACCAGAAGCCAGACAGCGACAAGGCCAAACTCATCCTGAAAACATAACCTCAGGTGATTCACGTGGTTGGACTCTTAGGCCCATCCTGAAAATGCGCCGTGGCCACCACTGGACGTCTTGTGACGGTCTGGAGGCCTCTTGGAGGCCTGGTGGAGACCTTCACGGACCAACACGTGCCATCTTGCATGCTCCCCCCTTCTCAAGGCAGATCGCCTGGGCATCGTTCCTAGATGGGTGGTGGGAATTACGCGAAGCGTCCATAATTGGGGCAATGTCTTTGTTGGTTTGGCCGTTTCGCCCGGGACACCTGCAACATTCCGAACATCGAACGTCACCCTCACGCAGATTGCGACGTCAGAGTCCAAACATACGAGGGGATGTCTACAGCTAACCCTCGAGCCTTCAACAACACAACGATGTTCAGTGGTTCAGGGCGTCGGTCCTTCAAAAAGCACCCTTTTCGAGTGAGAGATCCCCCAAACTTGAGGCTCAGCGTCTTCAGACGTGTCTTCAGATTCTGCAGAACGGCAGTTTGGCTGGAGACTTCCTCCCAGAATTTGTGTCGGAGCGTCTTTCCAACTGCAATGGCAAGGTGTGAAACACCCGCCTGCACCACTCAGGAGGAGGAGGAGCTGGAGGGGGGGGAGGAGAAGGAGGAGGAGGCAGAGGAGGAGGAGGAGGAGGAGGAGGAGGGGGAGGACGAGAAGAAGGAGGAGGCGGAGGACGAGGAGGAGCAGGGGTAGGAGGAGGAGAACTCGAAAGGTGAGGCAACCCCACCTGCGCTCGACTGCGATCCCGCTGTTGCACCTCCTTTCCGACAGCCCCTTAATGTTCCTCAGCCTCCTCCGTCGCGCATGTTGCACCCGCTTCTCCAGCGCCTACCTCCTCCTCCTCCTCCTCCTCCTCCTCCTCATGCTCGGACCCGACGTCAGATTCCACTGCTTGTCCATGTTCTGGGTTGCGTGTGCGCTGCAGCTCGTTCCTGTATGATCCTGGGCACGCGCGTGCCACTAGTATCTACATATATATATATATATATATGTATACACATACACGCATATACAGTTAGTACGCCACATGTCGTACTCCGCGCGGCTTCAACAACATAGCTTACAACAATATCCGCATAACTTCACATCCACTGTGCGACAAATAAGTCACAGTGTGGATCCACGTTGACTAGCACACTGCATTATTGTGGTACTCACAATGTGCGAGATGGACTCGGTGTAGTGCCTGTGCTATGGTGTGTGTTGTGGGTTGTCTCTGCGGTCATGTCGCAGATGTACTGTGTACCAAGGAGGACGCGAAGCATGTTTAACCCAAACAACAGACAACCACATAACAAAAGACAAGCAACAAACGACGCGGGGGAACTAACAATATTGGCCATACGGTTGCCGAGGATTTCTGTTACTTGATCGCCAACGCACGGCCAGGAGGGTCCGCGAGAGAACCCCGAGAGGGCCGCTAGATGGCCGAAGAAAGTCCTAAGACGATTCCGAAACGGCCAGAGAGAGTCCAAAGACGGCCCAGGAAATCGCCCAACGACTTCCCAGTTGACCGAGAGGGGCCAATGGGGCGCCGAGACAGCGCCAGCGGGTTCCAAGGCCCCCAAGAGGTCCCCAAGAGGCCCCCCAGGGAGCCCCCAAGCTCCCAGGAGGACGCACAGTTTGCCCCCAAGGAAGAGGAGAAGAGTTTGCAACAGTACTGGGGGAAAAAGGCAAGGAACATGCGAGAATAGGGAGAGGAAACTGAGAGAGGAGGCGGAGGAGGAGGAGGAGGAGGAGGAGGAGGAGGAGGAGGAGGAGGAGGAGGGGAAGGCGGGCGGTCTCACCAAACCAAACCTTACGCGGTCCTGACGCGCATTCTACGAAGCGAGCGGACTCCACAAGATGGCTCAGCGCAGGGGGGGAGGGCGGCGGCAGCGGGCAGAGCCCTTCAGGGATCATAGTACAAACCTGCTGACATCGAGCTGGGTTGGCCTCCTGAGGCCCTCTGGGGGCTCCTCTCAAATGCCTCGCGGGCCATCTCGTGGCGGCCTCGAGGCCTTCCAAGGCCTGGTGAAGGTTGTTTTGGAGGACCGTGGATCGTCCCATGCCATCTTGGTATTGGAGACCGCCTCTGATCGTACTACCAATGAGGCCAGCATGAAGGCCACGCATGTAGGTCTTGTGGCTGCGATCGGCTAGAGGGGTTGACCCGTTCAATAGGGGGAGTCCCCACCTGGATCCTCCACAGCCATTCCCGTACCTCCCCCTCCAACCTCGCTCCTCCCCCTTCCTACCCCGTTTCGCCACCCTTTCTCACTTATGTTGCTTCCCCCACAACCCTCCTTTGTCTCCTCACCCATCTCTCTCTCATTCACTTGACCTCCCTTTTTGTCCCCCCTTTCCCCTCCCGTCTCCCCTGTACCTCCACTAGAGGAAACAGACAATCATCATGAGGTACAGCAAACGTTATACGAATATACCGAAATCACAGGAAAAGGAGAGGGGGAGAGGGATCACTAAAAAATGGCGGGAAGCCGCACTGCACTTCAAATGTCAGGTCATCGACACACACAGCTGCGCTCGATACCCCAGAGCAAATGCGCAAGCCTCGGGACGGCACAGAATCCAAGCCCACGAGGTATTCCTGCCCTGCGCTTCGGTTGAAGAGGTTCTTCACGCTCCACTGTACGCATGAGTCCCACAAACTGTCGTAAGCCCTCTATATGTCCTGCTCGTCTCCCCCTTTTGAACAGACATCGCACTCCGCAATACTTGTGCGGGTACCATCACATCGCCTCCGGGGCCTCTGCCGGGGGGTCAAGCCCCGACTCATCGGCGAATGGCTGGAATCGGTACTGCACACGGCAAGGGAGGACAACCGACAACATGTCTCTCGCCTTGCAAGTTCGACTTCTCCTTCGAAGGAACGTGCGGCGGCGCATAGCGTGGCAACTCGTAGACGGGCGGCGGTGGTTCATCCGTCTCAGCTGCGCGGCGCGACTTTGGCTGCTGATCTCCTTTCGCCTGGGTGCGCCGCGGCTTGGACTTTTGCGCGACTGCTGCGCGCTCAAACTCGCCTCGAGCCCTGAGGCAGGCTCGATTTTGGCGTCAAGGTTGGCGGGTGTGAGTAGGCTAAGCGCACGAGTCATTGTTTGGTTGCACGCGCTGCGAGAGAGCAAGGCGGCGGCCGCATCACGGTCGGCGATGACGGTGCGTCTCGTTACTGATGTGTATGCGCAGCTTCCTGGCGCGAGGAGCTATCTGCACAGAACTGGACTCGTCGAGACGGTTCGCGCGCAAGAGCTGGATCGGCTGCACGCCAGAGTGACCTCAGGCAAGAGTGACCTTTGGTACGCGGACTGAGATGTCGCCAGGTGGCCAAATCCGGACGTCGTTCCGATGGCGGGCAAACCTCGGCGCGCCTTGCTTGATGTTTCAAAATGTCCTGAGAGAGAATTGTCCTAAGCGTTTCCCAATACGCGTGCCGGGAAGCTCTCCGGAAGTTCCTTCGGAAACTCCCTCCAGGTCCTGCCAGGAGTGCTTCGCCAGGACCCTGCTCCCGGATGCCTCTCAGCGCTCGAGGGGGGCCCGATGAGCCCGCACCAGAGGTCACTCCGGCGAAGGGTCACCCTCGCGCTGTGGGGGGCCCGGAAACGGCAGGGCCGTTTTTCACCGTTTCCAGCAAAATGTAAATTGAAAATGGAAACGGCAAAAAAACGGCTACCAAAAACGGCAAAAAAACAGCTCCAGGATTGGAACCGGAGCCGGAACCGGTCAAAAAAAGGCGACGGAATCGGTAACAAAAACGGCGTCGGAACCGGCAAAAAAACAGCAAAACGGAACTGGTAAAAAAACGGCCCTGTCGTTTCCAAGGCCCACTGAGCCCTCGCGTGTAGTCGACTGGAGGAGAGAGGGCCGCGACACCGAGGCCGCGGGGCGCCGCCCGGGCCCCAGCCCGCGCCCCGCGCGGTGCCTGGCGCCCCTGCGGCGGCCGCGGCCGCAGCCCCGCGGTGCGGCGCGCAGGCGCTGCAGCGGCGCCTCGTCGACGGCGCGCGCCCGCGGGCGCCGCCGCCCTGCGCGCGCGGCCCGGGGCGCGCGGCGCGGGCGCGGCGGTGGCGCAGGGCGGTGGCGCGCGCGCGGCGAGCGAGCGAGGCGGCGGCGCAGGGCGGCGCGCGCGCGGCAGCGCGCGGGGTCGCTCGCCCATGGCGGCCCGGAGGCAGGCGAGGGCCAGGCGCGGCGCTGGCCAGAGCCTCGTCTCATGGGCCTCGAGGGGCGAGGAGGCTCTCGAGGACAGCTGGGCTCTGCTCGTGCTTGCCCTGCAGGCGGGTTGTGGCGGAAAGAGCAACCGTCGAACATGATATGGGAAATCAAAAGAGCACGACAGATCGTCACCAAACTGTTTTTTGACCATGCTTGCATCCGCGTCCCCCTTGTGGGGCCACCAGGCTGTAGGGCAAAGTGTGCTGCTCCCTGCACCAGCTGCAATTTCGAGTCTCGAATGTTGCAGTCCTGCTTCCTGCTTCTTATTGTAAATTGTTGAAGTCCGCGCGAGGGAAGGGAGCCCCAAACCGCCCGGTTACCACGCCCGGGTCGCGTTCTCTGAATTCACGGGGGGGGCGTAGACATCCAAAAATACGTGAAGCTTACGCCCACGAGGCCATAATCCATCGTTGCGTCCCCGAGGCAACAAACCATCATAAAATTCGCAACGGTCGCGCCCTCGAAGCCATAAAACATCGCAAAGTACGCCGTATTCGTACTACCCAGGCCAAGAGTGCTCCAAGGAGCCCGAAGATGGTTACAAGACGGCCCAAGAAGGCCCAAAAAGGCCCCAAGGGCGCTCCAAGAGGCCCCCCGAAAGAGCCCCAAGAGGCCAACACCATTGATTTTACGAAGGTGCTTGCAGCTTCGCCTTCTCGCACGTTCGGCTTGCCGACGCACCAAGACGGGTCGAGAAACTCCCGAGACCGCCCCAAGACAGCCCAAGCCGCCTCCGAGAGGGCCCCAAGGCAGCTCAAGGGGTCGTCAAGATGGCCTAAGAAGCGCTCAAGACGACCCAAGATGGCCCCAAGAGGGGTCAAGCAGGGGACCACGAACCGAACATTCAATAGTTGTGCCCCGAGAAGGAGGCCGCTCAGAGTCCCCAAGAGGCCACAAGAGGCGCCCAAGACGCGCCCAAGAGTCCTCCAAGAGGCCCAAAATATACCCCATGAGGCCCCAAGAAGCCCCCAAGAGGCGCCCGAACTGCCTCCAAGAGGCCCCCGAGAGGCTCCCCACGACACCCTAACACATATACAAGAGGCTTTAGACCCACAACCCAAGCACCCAGGCACGGTGCCGCAGGCCATTGAGATAACGCCAACGTCTCAATATGCGCCGCTGACGATTCCTGTCCGGCCCCGCATGATGTTCCCAGATGCGTCAAGGCAGCGCCGAGACGCACCGACGCGACCCTGGTATCCCATTATGCTAGAGAAAGGCCGGCGGCAGGGGGCGAAGCCCATGCGGATATTCTTCCTGTAGAGGGACATGCCCGACTTAACTCGAGGTCCGCAAGGTACGGCAGGCGTCTCTGCCCAGCCCGAGTTTCTCAGACAATTGCGTTCCACTAGTCTGCGAATACCTTCTCGCAAGTGGCCTGGATCCGCAGCGGGAGACTTACGACCCACGACATAAAGGAAGACATGTTTTCCCGTACGTTTGCGAGTAGGCACTTTGCGAGGAGTGGAACGCGCTCGGTGCTTCCTACTGGCGAGTGGGGAGCGAGGAGGGAGGGGAGGGTGGTGAGCGAGGAGGGAGCGAGGAGGGAGGGTGGTGAGGGGTTTGTGCTCGATGCGCGAATCCCCGTGCTGAGCCTGGGACGCCAGGCTGGCGCCGTGTGCACTCACCTACTGAAGGGGGGGGGGGGAGGGCAGGGAGGGAGGGGAGGGAGGGAGAGGGGGAGGGGGGAGGGAGGCAGGGGGGGGGGGGAGGGGGCGGGGAGGGGGAAAGGGGGGGGGGGGGGGGAAGCAAGAGGGGAGGGGATGGGGAGGGAGGGAGGGAGGGAGGGAGGGCAGGGAGGAGGCGGGGAGGGCGGCGCGAACGGAGCACGCGGGGAGGGGGACGGCGGCGGGCCTCCGAGGCCTTGGCGGCCTTGTTGGCGAGCATCATGATCTCGTCGTCCTTGGCCTTGATGATGGCGGCGTACCTGCCAGGGGCGCGGGCACGGCATCGGCATGGGCGGGCACCGGCGTCGGCCGAGGGGCGCGCAGTGCAGCGACAGCCGAAAGCCATGCGTGGGGTCAAGCACGGGTCCGCGCGGACACTTTGGGTGGAGGGCACCGCGGACGAGGAGAGGATGGGCTTCATTGAAGGGGCCCTGGGACACACAAATAAATAGACACACATAAAAGGATTCCCCATATTTTCCCATATTTTCTGGGTTGTTGTATTCCCCCCCACTTCCCCTATTTTCCTATGTTTCCTGGGGAATCGCCGATTAATTGTGTCTGTGTGTTTCTTTCCCTCCAAAAACACTTTGGGTGGAGGGCACAGCGGACGAGGAGAGGATGGGCTTTATGGGGGGAAGAAGAGCTGGTTGGGCTGGGGGCTTCTGAAGTGGTGGATGGGCTGGAGGAAGTATCAGCATGGAGAGACGGGGTCGGACGAGGGCGGAGGACTCGGGATGAGAGTGGGGATAGGAAGGCGGAGGGGGGCGGAGGAGGGAGGCGGAGGAGGCTGAAGGGGCCCTGGGACACACAAATAAAAACACACAAATAAACAGATTCCCCATATTTTCCCATATGTCCTGGATTTTAGTCTTCCCCCCCACTTCCCATACCTTCCCATATGTTCTGGGGAATCGACGATTCATTGTGTCTGTGTTTTTTCCCCTCCTGAGAGGCGGAGGCGGAGGCTGCTGATACCCCAGGACTGAAACCCAGGCCTGGACCACGGGCAGCCTCCCAAAGGCGGGTGCTGGCTTCGCCACCCACGACCTCCTCTGACCTGGCTCGCTTCCTCAAACACAGGTCGAATGCACAACAAACACGGCGCATATCCCTACCAATTGCGCTGAACTCGCAGTGACCTCCGCACCTCCTCTAGTGGGCGGCACGGACAAGAGGAAGGGGGAGGGGGAAGGGCTTCTTAGAAGAAGGCTGCTTCTTAGAAGGCGCCAGCCCTACATCTACAGATGCGGCCAACGCCTTCTAAGCAGCAGGCGTCCCCATCCCCCCACCCCCCTCTGCGCGAGACGGATCTGGTCGAGAGGACTTTCGGTAACCCTCCAAGCGGAGCTGTCTCCACGTGAAGCGCCCTGCCGTGCAGGGGGCACTCACCATACAGAGGGCCCACCGCCCTCTCTCGCCCGCACGGCGATTGCAACGGGCCCCCGCCAAGCGCCGCACCGCGGGAAGAAGACAACGCGCGAGCCACGAACGAGCGAGAGGAGAAATGCGCCGCGGAGGCATTGGGGCAGCACGAGGAGGGAGATCGCAACTCGCGGCGGCGTCGCCGGCGGGTCGCCAGAGCCCCGCTGGACGGGCCCTCTTTTCGCGGCGGCCCGCCCGCCGCCGCAGTGGAGCTCGGCTCGGCGACCGAGTGGGGAGCTGGGTGCCTGGGCGAGTTGGCCTTGCACGCTCCGCGAGCTTTCCTGTCAGCCTCCTCGGCGTGCGTCGTAGCCCTGTGGAACTTGGCCCAGTGTCGCTCTGCGACTGGGCCGAGCTGGTCAGCACGAGCCACTGCGTCCCTCGAGGCCATGGCCTCGCCAGCTTGTTCCATAGACGATGGCAATCGGGCCTGTTTTTCATAAACAACAACATCAAAAAACAGTCTCCCAGCACTGGCGCGCCTGCGGGTGGCACGCCGGGTCTGCGAAGCAGGCACGTAGCAACCAGAGCCGTAGTCAGCATTGCATGGTGAAGGGAAAGCATCAACGCAGCGTGCATCCGAACCGTAAGCACTTTGGCCCGTGAGCCGCCTCGCGCGGCGTGCTCGCAGCCACCGTACTCTTAGCCTTGATCCTGAGAGAAAACAATCTATTTGGGTTGATTGGCCTGTTTTCCACCACCACTACCATAGGTAGGAGAGGGAGGAGGAGGAGGAGGAGGAGGAGGAGGAGGAGGAGGAGGAGAAGGAGAAGGAGGAGGAGGAGGAGGAGAAGGAGGAGGACCTCCTCATCCTCCCCTCCTCCCCCGTCCTACACATGGTAGTGGTGGTGGAAAATTAGCCCATCACGGGTGCCGCCCTGCTCCGCCACAAAGGGGGGAAGCCTGCTGGCGAGTGCCGGCATCGACGTCGTCGACCTCCGCGCCCGCTGCTGCCGACGTGGCCTGCGTGCGCCCCCAGAGGCCAGCCGGCGCCGTACTCGCTGCACGGCTCCGCCTCTTCTCGTCGTTCGGCCCTGGAAGAAGGGCGCTGCCCGGAGGCCCGGCCACGCTTGACGATGTCCTCCCATGTGATTCTGCTGGGGTAACTCCGGCGAGGAGGGCGAGGAGGGCGAGGAGGGCGAGGAGGCAGGCTCCCCTTTTGGCGCGTGCTCACGGCCTCTTTTAGGCCAGGCCGTCGTTGCCGCGGGTGACGCGTGTCACCACCCAGGCAAGCGGCAAGGTGTGACGCACAAGACTGCGCGCCTAGAACTGCGGAGACGGCTGCGCGAAACCCTACCCGTGTGAAGCCCTGTGTACGGGATCTACGTGTGCAACCCTGCGTATCCATCGGTCGGAAGAAGTAGGTAGAAACATGAAGTAGGAAGGCGTTGGAAATATGTTGGGTTTCCGCCCGCCTCCTGAAGAAGAAAGAAGAGGGAAACCCCCTCGACTCTTGAAGTAGGAAGGCGCTCAAAGTAGATTGGAATCTGGGGATCAAAAAAATACCTACTTTCAACGACCGATGGGTATGCTGATCACCATCTGCCTGCGGCAGCTCAGACCGACGCGCGCCGGTGCCGGACGCCATGCGCGGGCGGAAGCGGCCGCGACGGCCACCGCCTGCGCCCCGACCCCGAGCGAGAGCCGAGCACCGCGCTCGGGCATCAAGGCGTACAGGCCACACCCGCATCTCTCGGGTAGGGCGAAAGGGGGGGATAGCAAAATCAGCTTACGTAGCTGATTTTCTTGAGAATCAGCTCACGTAGCTGACTTTCCTGGCGCCTCCCAGCGCCGGGAGGCGACCATGTGTCGAGGAAGGGGCCCCTCGGTGGGGCCGAAGCCAGCTGCGTGCAGCAAATTTCGTACCCCCCCCCTTTCCCAGTCCCCCCCTTTCGTCCGGCCCGATCTGCGGATCACCCCCCATGAGGAGGAGGAGGAGGAGGAGGAGGAGGAGGAGGAGGAGGAGGAGGAGGAGGAGGAGGAGGAGGAGGAGGAGGAGGAGGAGGAGGAGGAGGGAGGAGGAGGAGGAGGGGGAGGAGGAGGAGGAGGAGGAGGAGGAGAGAGAGAGGAGGACGAGGAGTAGGAGGAGGAGGAGGAGGAGGAGGAGGAGGAGGAGGAGGAGGAGGAGGAGGAGGAGGGCCGCATCTCGCGCACGCGCACCCTCGCGGGGGGCGGGGGGGGCAGGGGAGGGGGCCGCCCCGCCGAGAGGCCTGCCGCGTGCCGCGCCCAGAGGCCGACGCCCCGCGCGCGGCCCCATCGGGAGCCACGCCGCGCCTCGCGCCGCCCCTCCGGCCGCCACCCCGGGGAGCCCCGCGTCCTCGGGCGAGGAGCGGGCGGTGCCCGCGCCGCCGCGGCCCTCGGCGCGAGGGCGCCCGCGGGCCGTGCAGGCCGTTGCCCTGGCGCTCCCGCCGCAGCAGCCGCTGGCCCTCGCTCGGACGTCCACGCCCTGTGTTTTTTGTTTCGGTTCCGTGCGTGGCATTTTCGCAGGAGGATCCAGGATGCTCCTAAATAATCCCCGCCGAGAAAAGGTGCACACTGTCCCAGCGAGACCAAGCCCGCAGAGCCCTCCGCGGTGGAGGGAGGGATGCCTCGCCACCGAGCTCCCGAGCCCGACAGCACGCGCAGTTCGCTTTGGCCCCCAGGCCCGACACCACCGCCTCGACAGGCCAACCGTCCTTGTGAGCGCCTTATCACTCGGCGTTTCGTCTTGGGGCGGAAGGGGAGGGGAGAGTGGGGTCTGGCTCTGGACCACTGCTGAGTGCGGCTGTTTGGAACCGTGGGTCCTCTGGGGGAGACCCTGCCTGCTCGAAGCAGGCGCCCGCACGCGGGCGGGGGGGTGGGAGAGGCCAACCTTTCGGCCCGGCAGGGCAAACTATGCCCACACCTTGGCAACAGAATCCTGGGCAGCGTCGTAACCACCAATAAGCAGGGTACGGGCACGGGGGGGTGGGGGGGTTGGGAGGTGATGGGAGGGGGGGGGGCAACGCCCTCGGTGGCAACTCGTGGGAGCCTTCCATACCATATTGCCGGCTCTTGCGAATCGACGCTACATCGACGCACAGTCGACGCAAGCCGACGCTAAATCGACGCTGTCGGCGCTACCTCGTCTGCGCTACAGACGGAATGGCGAGGGCATACAGGGCTCCTTCGATTCGCTACCGAAGTAGGGTAGTGGCTGGCACGGGGGGGGGAGGGGGGGGGCAACGCGATGGGCCCAGTGTTCACCCGTGAGGCAGCAAGCGAATGCTCTCACCGTACTCCGTGAGACGAGGGCCCGGTCCTTGCCGCCTCGAGGCGGCCGAGCCCCCGTCCGCACAAGGGCATCCGCCGGCCGACCCGTGACCCACCGCTCTCGCTCCAGGGGAGGCCAAGTCTCGGGTTAAGTCGGGCCTGTCCTCCTACAGGGGGATTTTCGATGAAACATAAAAAATACCCCAAAATAATCCGAAAATAGTCTGGGGACTATTCTTTGCATATTTGTTCCCCACATGTTTCGTGGGGTTCTGGTTTTCTTCCCTCTCCGTCTCTCTTCGACACTCACACCTCACACCTCCCTCTCCGTCTCTCTCTCTCACACACCTCACTCTTCCCCTCCTCCTCACAGCACTGCTCAGCACAGCTCAGCTCAGCTCAGCTCAGCTCAGCACGGCACAGCTGAGCAGCTCAGCTCAGCTCAGCTCAGCACAGCACAGCACAGCACAGCACAGCACGGCACAGCACAGCACAGCTCACCGCACAGCAGCACAGCACAGCACAGCACAGCATAGCACACAGGGCATCCCTTCGACGCCACAGGGGGTGCGCTGGGGGTGGGGGCCCTATGCGTTGTAGGCTCCCAGGGCGTGGAAGCCGTGGCATTTCCTCGACGCCACAGGGGGTGCGCTGAGGGTGGGGGCCCTATGCGTTGTAGGCTCCCAGGGCGTGGCAGGCGTGGCATTTCCTCGACGCCACAGGGGGTGCGCTGGGGGTGGGGGCCCTATGCGTTGTAGGCTCCCAGGGCGTGGCAGGCGTGGCATTTCCTCGACGCCACAGGGGGTGCGCTGGGGGTGGGGGCCCTATGCGTTGTAGGCTCCCAGGGCGTGGCAGGCGTGGCTTTCCTTCGACGCCACAGGGGGTGGCGCCTTCGACGCCACAGGGGGTGCGCACGGGGTGGTCCCTGAGCGCGGCTGCTATCCGTGACTCTCGTCCAGGGCTCAGCAAGCGTGGCGTTTTCTTGACACCATCAGGGGGTGCGCACGGGGTGGTCCCTGAGCGCGGCCGCTATCCGTGTGACGGTCGTCCAGGGCGCAGCAGGCGTGGCGTTTTCTCGACACCACAGGGGGTGCGCACGGGGTGGTCCCTGAGCGCGGCCGCTATCCGTGACGGTCGTCCTTGCGGTATCGGCGGGGCAACGGCCACCAACATCATTCTCCCATGCTTCACTTCAGCTATCTTTACCCCAGCCATAATAAAAGTATGTGGGGTTCCTCGGTAGCGTAATTTGCCTTTCTGGGGTATGTTTGGGGTGCTTATTTTTCGTCGAATATCCCCCCTGAGGGGGGACAGGTCCGACTTAAGTCTCGGGCCCCCGGCTCCCCCCCGAAGGCTGCGGGGAGGCCCTGCCCGGGCGAGGAGGGGGACGGGTGCCGGGCGGGCCTGCCCACCACGAGGGCCGGTCACGCTCCGAGGAGACAGAGGCGCCCCTCCTCCTCCTCCTCGTCCTCCTCCTCCTCGTCCTCCTCCTCCTCCTCCTCCTCCTCCTCCTCCTCCGCCCCCCCCTCCTCCTCCGCCTCCTCCTCCACCAGTGCTGCAGGAGCAGCCAATCCTTGAAGGCAAGAGCAGGCCGAGAGGGCAGGAGAGGTGGCCACGAGCGAGCCCGACCCCTGCCCCCCACGAGTTCTGAGGGGGAGGGTGGGGTTCACGTCGTTTTGGGAGCTCCCGAGCGAAGGGAACCCCGCCCTCCCCCCACAAGAGACGTGGGGGGTAGGGGCAGGGTTCGCAGGTGCCCCCCTACAGGAGCCCAGGAGCCCAGTGCTCGAGCCTGGTGGGCCACGGCGACGCGCGGGAGGGGAGGGGAGCGAGGGCAGCCTAGGCGACCCGGCTCCCTCACTGGCCCTCTTACCGCAGCGCCCACGAGCTATCTGTGGCACCAGACGTTAGAGGATCACCATAACAAGCTACAGCGGCAAGAACGCCATGGCGGCGACCGCCAAGCAATCGGAACACCGCTCACCGGCAACGGCAAGAACACCATCGGCCGGGCAAACCGACACAAAACATTTGAGCACATGCAGGACTCCCAGGTGCAAGCACGTGTTTGGGGAACCATATGGCATCAAAGAGAGAGAGGAACACACATGGACTCACTGAAGCAATCGAGCAAGCAGTGCAGCATGCGAGGCAAGCAAACGAACAGAGACGCATGCAAACAGGCACGCGAGTCACGCAAACCATCTCAACAGCTAGCAGGACAACAGCTTGCACGCACGCAAAGTAGCATTCGAGACAACATGAAGGCAGGCCAACACATAAGTATGCAAGGACGCAACCACGCAAACACACGAGGACAGACCAATGGGCCTGTACGTAATCTGAATGCCATGCGCGCTTCGTTCAAGATGGTGGCCAAGTGGCACCCTCACCGATTCGATCCATCAAGAAGGCGCCCTCCACTCGACAAGGCTGGGCAGAAAACTCGCCGTCTGTGCGTTAGGGCCGCGCTAGCTTGTCGCAACGACGACGAGCGAAGGCCTTGCTAAAATCGATGGCCCTCCCCTCTTGGCGACTGCATCCCGGCTTGATGGTGGGTTTGCGCTGCGGCAGGGCCACGCCGAGGAGCCAGACATGCGAAGCATACAACACCTGCGGGGACGGAGCATAATTGCTCCAATGGTGATTCATATCTGTGGGGACGCGATCATCCCAATCTGGTTTTCTTTTGCGGAAATAAGTCCTGCAAAGAGCGCATGACGCGTGATGTAACGCCTTGCGGATGAACATGTACAAGAGGCGCTGGGTAGCTTTGTCTTTCACGATGTGGAGGGAAACAACACTACCCGATGTGAACAGACCCCACGTAATCTCCAGAACCGGGGGGGGGGCCCGAGACATGAAAAGCATGGCGAGAGACAGACTTCAGGCGGGGGGACACAACTCTTCGACCACCACCCCGGTGAAACGCCGCTGCCGCTATCACAATGACCCAATACGACTCGGCAGGCCCAAACTCATTACAAGACGGCGGAGGGGCACTTGGTCTGGACTGCGTTGGTGATGTGCGTTTCCAAATCTCCGCCTCAGCATGCAACCACTCCTCTCCTCCCTCTGGGGATGCCTGGACTCCGACTGAAGTGGCAAGCAAAGGAGCACGTCCGCTATCCCCCTTGCGAGGCAGAAACATCACAAAGTCTGCGATATCGTATGAGGTAGCATGTGTCTATGAGCGTTTCATCACAAGTGAGCCACTCTGGAGGTCAGTTGTGAGCATGCTCCTGCAAGCTGGTTACGAAAACGCCTGATCTGGCTTCTCACGAGCTGGCCAACATGGTTGCATGACTGGTCCACTTCCACGAGGTAAACAATACTTGCGGTCAGATCAGTCAGTAGAGAAGCGTTCATGTGGTTACGCGTCCATGGTTCGGCGGTCGTACGTCCGCGCCAGTGTGCGCAACGCGTGCGCCGACTCGGATTGGTGATCAGCCTTCTAGGACCTCGACTTTCTCGCAATTTGACCTGCTCGCTCTATGGCCTATAAACATCGCCGCCTCCGGCTCTCTGTACTTCTAGGTCCTGAGGTAAAGTTTCAACGGGTTCGGGACCCCAAGGATTTTCCTCGGTATCGGCTTCTCCGCCCGAGCAAGTTGTAGGACAGTGGCTGGGGCTCCTTGAGTCCCTGGGGGGCCAACAAGACGGCCCAGAGCCGTCGAACTCCGAATCCGTCTACCTCGGGCCCCATGGCAATGGCAGTGACGCAGAACAAGATACAGTCGGGGCGTTGACCTGAGGAACCCTAAATAAGGAACGAGGCCCCTTTTTACCATAAGTTGAACTTCGATTTCCCATCGAAAACATAAGGAAAACTTGAGGCAGGCTGTGAAACAATTAAGGAACACGGAGCTCCTCCCCCAACGAAAAGGGTTCCTTCTTCAGGGCCCCGACTGTACTTCTGTTTGTTTCTGCTTCTGGAGACCTGGGACCTCCGAGTGTGGACCTACGGAAGCCCTCTCCGCTGAGCCAACACATGACGCTACAGTACACAGATGAAGAACATGCCTGTTGGCTACTCCACAACCTGCCCCTTCCTACCAGCCACAGCCAGCAACGCTCACAACGGCAACCCTTTCTCCGCTTCCGCGGAATACCACGGCGGCTGGCACATCAACGATTGTCCAGCCCCTGAGACATGATGCTCTTGGGGCCAGACGGCCACAACCAGTCCGCGTCAAAGAGGCCTGGGAGCTCCCTTTCCACTCCCCCTCCAGCGAGAGCAGCATTGACAACAACTTGCAGAGGTCCGCGCGGATTTCTCAGATCGGCACTGGACACCACCTCCCAGGCGTGTGGAGCGCGCCAGCGGCGGCGCCGGAGGCGCCGCCAGTACAGTCAACCCGTAAAAATAAGGATGCGTGGTAAGGGTGCAAAAGCCCCGAAGGCCCATGTGAACATTTCTCGAACGAGGCTGGCCAGCGAAAGTCGCTAGGGATCGGCCGAAGGGGCAGGGACGCAAGGGTGCCCTCGAGTAGGTTGCCCATCCTCACTCTGCGGGCCGACTATAGGCCCCAGAACCACTCCCGGAAACCCTCGCTCCTCTCCGAAGTCGTGTGATCGCGCGCCTGTTTACCAGCCTGGAGCATATCCCTATCCCTATGCTAAGCACCTCCTCATCACGATGCCAATCTTAGGGATCCCCTTGTTTTTTGAGGGCGAACCCCTAAGATTGTCATCGCCTCTTGGCGTGTCAATCTTAGGGATAGGGATACGTTCGAGGCTGGTAACCTGTGCTCACACGAAAGCTTGGACGAATGGGGCTCCTCTTTTGGCCTCTTGGCCGCTGGCTGGCGCCAAGGATGGCTCCCGAGCGGTGGCCGCTCGCCGCCGCCTCGTGCGCGGGCCGGCGTTCTCCTCTGGGTCTTTGCCGCTCCGTGGCCCTCGGCGCCGCCTCGGAGATCTTGCGCCAGATGGAGCGCACGCCACAGAGCGGCCGCCGTGTCCGCACAGAGTGGGCGGGAGTACATCACGAAGGTATATATATATTTATATATATATATGTACACACATATACAATTATATATATATATATATATATACATACATACATACTTGTGCAGATATATATACACGGATATAGAAAGTATATTTACATATATATATATACATATATATATACACACAGACACCCTCCGAAGAGAGTTGCACGTGCCTTTGGGGAGGCTGGCTGTGTAGAAAGCCACTGGCTCTCGATGGTAGTGCATACACCAATGCCCTCCCCTTGGGCCCAGGAACAATCCATTGGAGGGCGTCTGTGTATATATATATATATCGCTGTGGCGGACGGGGAAGTTTCTTTTGACGTGTCTAGGCCGACCAGCCCCTTGTGTTGCGAACGCCCCTCCGAAGTAGCACCCCCGCCCTATTCACAGCCGACGTTGGGTCGCTCGCCATCTGAAATCTTATGTTTGCCAGCATGGATCCCAAAGACTGAGATAATGCACGGGGGGGTGGGAACTATGCGCGCGCGAGTCGGAAGAAGTGGGTAAACTTACAAAGTCGGAAGACGCTAGAAGTAGATTGGGTCTCCGCCCGCTCCCTGAAGACGAAAGAATCCGAAAAACAGCTCGATCCTTGAAATGAGAAGGAGCCTGAAAGTACATTGGAATATGGGAATCCAAAAATACTTGCTTTCAACGACTGATGGGTGATGTGATGTCAATGCGTCGGTGACTAAAGTGCTTAAGTGATGAATGATGGTGGCATAGGCAACGATTGTCCATGACGACGGCGTAGATGGCGGCGCCGATGAGGCTGCCGGTGAGGAAGTGCACGCGCGCAGAAGGTTCAAAGTATTACTTGTTGTTGAAGCAGGTTGTGTTGAATAAATGGTTGAAGAGTTTTATCTTGAGGGCAGCAAGTCGAACCCTTGCCTGAACATCTCCAGCGAAACCCGAACATCCGAAGGGGCACAGCCCGAACACCTCCCCACGCCCGAAACCCAAAAGCCTGAGGGAAGGCCGGAAGGCCAAATGCCGCCTCGGCCCCCTCCCAGCTCGTCGGCATTCGCCCCGCCAGGGTGCTCGGATTTGGCCCCATCCAAAGATCTCGGGTATGATCCCTCAAGGGGCTTCGGGTATAGCCCCTCCGTCCTCGGGTTTCGGGGCGTTTTCCGGGTGCAACCTGCTGCCCTATCTCGAGATGCTGCAAACAACCGCCCGTGCCGGAAGGATCTCGACACGCGCGCGCGGCGGCGAGAGCGCGTGGGAGGCACGCTCTTATTTCAGATACTGATTCGCGCACTGGGCGCATGATCTTATTTGATACAGACTTGTTGTTTTGTTGTTGTTTTGGGACCACCCTAGGGGGTGCAGATGTGTTGTTTGAAGTTACGTGTAACACTTCCTGTCGTGCGAGGCTCCTCGACCAACTCTGGTGGCTAGTGAGGTGAGCAATCACCACGTGTCGCTTTCAGCGCGGATGCACCAAGTGGTGAGATGAGCGTGCGGGTCCTGGACGAGATTGCTGGAACCAGATGGGCATCGCATGGCTTGGGCAAGTGCGCGCGGGCAGAACATCTGCACAGCTTGTGATGAGGAAGCCTGAGGGTTGTGATTGTTGTTGCCATGCCGAAGTGTCAAGCTGGTGTGTTGGATATGCGTTTGTCTTGTGCGCGCGTGGACGTTGTGCAGTTATTGGCAATATGTGATTAAGCAAGATTCCTTCCAGCGAAACGCATGAGCGCGACAGGGATGAAGAGGGGGTCCATGACTGGTTGCCTGCAATGCTATGACGTCCTATAGAAAATGCGTGGTGAGGCATCATGTCGTCTGCAGTGGTGTGCGCTATGTGGTGCAAGCTATGTTGTGCGGCACATGTGGTACGATCTATGTGGGGTGAGCTATGTGGTGGAAGATATGTGGCCCAAGCATAGTGCAATATACGCTGAGCAATACATGTAAGGTGAGCTGTGGTGCAATGACGTGTGAGCTATGACGCACCAGCTATGCGGTGCAAGCTATGTGGTGCACTCTACGCGGTATGAGCTACGTGGTGCAAGCTATGTCGTGCACGCACGGTGCGCCCAACAGGCGGCAACGGGCGGCAGGGTGGCGAAACCCCAGCGGACCCAGCCAGCACACCAGGCGGCCACAAGGCGGCCACGGGCGGTAACGCGGCTAAACCTTGCCGACCCACCCAGCGCACGATGCGGCCACGAGGCGGCCACGTGGCGAAACCTCAGCGGACCCACCCAGCGCACGAGGCGGCCAAGAGGCGGCCGCGGGCGGCATCGTAGCGAAACCTCGGTGGACACACCGATCGCACGAGGCGGCCACAAAGCGGCCGCAGACAGCAACGTGAAAATCATCGCCGTACCCATCCAATTCCATAGAGACGCATGTATGGAACCCTTTGTGTCAGCACTGTTCGGGGAATTCTAAACAGCAAGGGGCCGAAGTGATAACAAACACGTGGGGGGCGAAACAGCCCCGCGGGGGGCAAAAGAGGCCGCCCGATAGGGGTCATAACCATTCTCTTGCAAAAACATGTAAAAAACACCGCGAGCGGCGTCACAAGCATACCACACAACACCGCAAACAGAAGAACAGCGCCTCGAGACAGCCACAACCGGCAGACACTGCGCCAAGGCAGCTGATCTCGCCCAAATGCGGCCACAAGGCCTCCGACGCGGCCCCAAGACTGCCCAAGACTACCCACTGCGGCCTCCAATGCGCCCCATGGCCCAAGATGGCCCCAAGACGGCCAAGAGGCTCAAACAGCGGGGCCAGACCCACACCGGGTCCGCCTGCCGCCCGGAGCTGCCGCGGGGCGCGAGCTCGACCTGGACCCCCTCCAGCGCGCGGACGGAGACGAGGCAGAACTTGCGGCCCGCGCAAGTCCCCCCCTGTCACCGCGCGGACGAAGATGACATCGAGGTCGCGGCCCGCCCCAGTGCAAACCGCTCGCCAAGCTGCACTTGTGGGCGCGAGCTCGGCCTCGGCCCCGCCGCACGGACGCAGACGAGGCCGAGCTCGCGGCACGCCCCACCGTGGACCACTCAAGGAGCTGCCGCGGTACGTGGCGTCGACGTCCGCCCTGCAGCGCGGGCGAAGACAGCGTCGAGTGCACGACCCGCCCAAGCTTACGCGGCTCGCCGAACTGCTGCAGGGCGTGAACTCAATGCCCCTCCCTGCTGCACGGACAGAGGCGAGGCCGAGCGTGCCGCCCGCCCCAGCTCAGACCGCCCGGCGGGGTGCAGCCGTGACCGAATTCGAGCTCATTCCTGCTGAGCGGTTGCGCGGGCACGCTGGCGGGGCTTGCCACAGGCAGCTGGACTGCACCGCGCATACCTCCAACCACACGTACTGAACCACGTCCACTTTCAATCCAGAGATTGCAGCCCAGATTCTACCACGTGGCGTGCACCTCGTGGAATGCATCACAGACGTTGCACCACAGAGGCTGCCCAAATGGCTTGTCCATCAGCTTGCAACACATACTTTGTAGATCACAGCTTGCACACCATATACTGCACCCACCAGGCGGCAACACATACGTAGCATCACATATACAGTCGAGGCGTTGACCTAAGGAACCCTAAATAAGGAACGAGGCCCCTTTTTCATAATTGACCTTCGACTTCCCATCGAAAGCTTAAGGAAAACCTTGGGCAGGGTGTGGAAAAATTAAGGGACACCGAGCCCCTCCCCAACGAAAAGGGTTCCTTCTTCAGCGCCCCGACTGTATACTGCGCCCACCAGGCGGCACCACATACGTAGCATCACATATCACGCACTCGACACGTTGAGCTACACAGAGTGCCCATCAACAATGCAGGCACCCGCTGCTCGGGATCCACGCCGGCAGACGCTGCGCATTCGACCTCCTCTCCCCGCTCCTGCCCCTTCCATCGGAGAGAGGCGAGGGCGCAGCAAAGGAGGAGCACACACTCTGGAGGCCACACAGGAGGCCGAGCAACACTCTGGACTTCCCTTCCAGGACCGAGCAACACTCTGGAGGCCACAAAGGACGTACGCGCCCAGCTATGTACATGAACACGGCCCCTCGATCCGCGAGACTGGCCGCGTTATACGAACATGTGCACAATGTGTACTCTCAAAACCAGCGTGGATTCATGTACGTGTACGTTCTTCTTTCGCTCCTGAAACACGCGTGCCTTAAAATCAGGCTCAACTAGGCGGGCTGGTGTGCCTCGACGCCGGACGGAGAGCTGGATAGAACGCACCTTTTGTCACAGGGACGTCTGTCTCAAGAACCTGAACATTTCACTCAACCACGGCCTGAGAACGATACCCCGTCGCACTGGGACGGAAGAACCCGTCGCCTGAAATCGTCCTTCAGGACTACTGTCAGTCCCCCGAGTTTGACTCGACGCCAGGTGCCAACACGCCCCCCCGTGGGCCGAGCGCCGCCTTCGCGACTTGCCTTCGAGAGGATGCCGATTGTCGTTGACTTAGCGTCAACGGCATTCTGCAGGTGCTTGATGGTCGCCTGCATGGACTCGACATCCTGCCGGCGCATCGCGCGAGGCCCCCCTGGCATTCCTCCCCCCTCCTCCTCCAGCACCGCCAGCACACCTTCTACGCTCAAGGCTGCGGGAGTCGTGCCCTGGAGCCCTGGTGAGCGGTGAACGTGGACATCGTCCCGTCCTCTGGCGCGTGGAGGCATCCCTGCTCCACCAAACTAGTCGGCGGCGAGCGAGGGGGAAAGTGAGAAGCAGAAAGCCTTCTCAGAGGGTTCGGAAGTCCCCCAGCCTTCTGGGAAGTTCCCTAAGCCTTCCCCGAAGACAGGAAAAAACTTCTCGGAGGGCGCGAGGGCTTCTGAGAAGTCCCGCCGCCTTCTGAGAAGGCCTTCTCCTTCTCGTTTCCCCCCCTCGCTCGCCGCCGAACTATGGCATACCGGCCAAACAGGCAGGCACAGGGGGCAGAGACGGCGGCGTGAAGGGAGGGAAGCGGAACGCCGCCCTGCAAGGCTGTGCGCCGGGGAGGGCACGACGCAATGATGATCCAGGAACATTCCGACCACAACTGGGGTAACGCCCCGATGCACCGCCCGACAAGCCGATCGATGTAATCGATCGCAAGATCTCCCATCGCGGCCGGCGCCCCTTAGCGTCGCTGGCCTTCTGACGCTTCGAACGCCCAGCTGGCAAGACGAGCCGCGGCTGAGGAAGCGCACGACTCGCGACTTCGGTGGCAACTCATGGGAGCCTCCCATGCCATGTTGCTGGCCCTTGCGGACCGGTGCTGATCGACGCTGAATCTGCGTTCATCGCCGCTGCATCGGCTCTAATCGACACTACATCGGCGCTTCCTCGCAGTTGGTACCAGATGCTAGCGGACGCTTGTGCACCCCGACATCAATATCTCGAGGCCCCGCGAGGCTCCCGTGCGTTCCTGGCGAACGCGCCCACTTGTCGTGCTGCGTGCAGCGAAGCCGCGCCGTGTGGCCCGACAGCTGTTGTCCAAAAAATCGACCGCCGCCGCTGCTGGGCGAGCGGCCTGCTGCCTCGAGTGGGCAACGTCCGCGGCGACACCGACAGCGAGTCCTGTTCAAACTCAGTCAGAAGCGCTGTTGGTCTTCGCGACCGTTCTTGCCGTTCCCCTTCCGATCGCACGGAGCAGAATACGTCGACCCCCATCCCAGGCTCCGTGGTGATCTCGAAAGGACCAGAAATGTGAGGCCCAGCCCTGGGATGTAAGATGGGGGGCCGTCCATCCTCGCCAGGGGTGCGTCCAGATAGCCCCCCTGGGGGTTCATCCCAAGGGTTCCCCCCTTTTCTGAACCTTTGTTTCGTTTGTTGTCGAACAGTGGAGGAATGGGGGAGAACAAATCGCCTGCGAGTGACCCTTGTGAGCGTTTTCTTACTCGGCGTTTCGACATTGGGCGGAAGGGAGGGGAACGACCAGGAAGCTCGAGCCCCTCCTGAGCCCAGAGCGGTCCTCAGTTCAGCGTCTTGACTGTAGCACTCTGGTAGCACGCGGTGCAAGAAGATGTCGGGAGAGACACTGACAGGATGAGCCCTGTGCAACGCACGGCAAGATGGGAGCACGCGAATGCACTCGCGCTCGCCCCTTTGGCACACTTCGCGGCCTCTCGCATGCAAACAAATGCGCGACGAGCGGTTCGCAAGTGTGTGCGCGCAATATCTTGCAAATGTCCCCCGCTTCCGTTAGGCCCCGACACGTGGGCGCAACAGGTTCAAGCGCGGTGCTGGCTGTGCTGCGCGCGCCCTGAACCAATTGCTGCAAGGTCCTTGCGAAGGCTTGCCGCGTCCGCATCCGCCGCCATGTTGCACCTGTAGTGAAGATAGGTGCGCTCGCAGGTCAGTCCACAGATCTGCCGTTCGAATGCGAACGAACCCTCATAAGCAACAAGAACGGCACACCTACATCAATCAAACACGTATGTGGAAAGACGACATGCTTCTGACAATGATACATCCGAGTGTCACGCCCCATCCTTGAGACGAACAGCAACTGGACAAGATCGGCCCACTCCACTCGACTGCCCTCCTCTTTCCTCGCCGCCCCCCCTCTTCACCCCGTCATGTCCAACAAGTGCATTGCTCATCCTCGCACTCACTATCCTGCCCATCCTATCGCGGTTCCTCCGCCCCCCCCTTCCAAGGAGCCGCAACTGGGGACTGTCAACCAAGACATCGACGCGCCCCAGATCCGAAACGTTCTCCGCTCTTCCTTCTCCAGCTGGACACCGCAAAGAACTGGTTTACAATGTCCCATGTTCCAAGCTGTTTACCAAGGCCCTGACCCCCATCCGCAATCAGCAGCGGCACCCAGGGCCACAGGAGGCCATACGAAGCCATACGAGGCCCCTGGATACCAAGCGTGTGTTGGCATAGAGGGTCAACTTCAGTTGGGCCAGTGCGGCAAACAGGGGCATAAAAGGCCATAATAAACTAAACACCCAACCGTCGGAAAGCACAATTGGCCATAGGAGGTTAACGCGTGATGTGAGGCCACCTTGTGATGCGAACAACTCATAGCACATGATGTCGGAGCGACAGCCGTGCAAGAGGATGATGTGTTCACCACGCGCTTGAACAGAAGAGCAGCGCTGCTAGTGGGCGGCATGGGAAGGGAGCTCCAGACGCAAAACCACCTACACAAGTGGTGCTTGCATACGCAGGGTTACAAAGTGAATGCACCGATAAGCATATACAGGTTATACAAAGTATGGTCGCTCTATGCTAATATGTATGTAATTAAGCGTGAACGTAGTATGTGGTATATAATCTGAATTACGATAGCGCAGATGAAACATGTGTTTACACCGATGCGTGTAGATATACATGTGTACATATAAATACATAGACGTATATTCATATATAAATCCACCACCTTGGCCCTCAGGCGCGATGGTGGGTCGTCGGAAGCGTCACGAATGTCGAAAGCGAGCCACCGAAAGAGCCCAGCTGCATTTAAACGAATTGCGACGACTTGCTCGATTTCCTCGATGTTGAGAATAATGATGATGAGCGCGCTCGGAAACGGTGTCCTCGCAAGGACCCCTCATATACCCACAAGGCTGCCCGAAAGGCCTCCAACGTGGACGCCGATTGGGGACTCCAAGAGGGAGGGCTCAAAACACATCCCGAGGGGCCCCCGATGAGGTATCCGATAGGACTCTGGCACCGAAAAGTTTCCGTGGCAACTTCGCGCTCCTTTCTCCAGGGCCGAAAACCTTGAGCACGAACAAAATTGTTCAATGAGCTTTGAAGTCGGAAAAACTCACACGAAGATCCTCCAAAACGCGGCCAAAAGTGTGGAGCCTGCGTCCCTGAAAAAGCATGTGCAATACTAATACCAATGGGCCTAAGGGGCCTGAAAACTAAATACGGTCCTACCAATACGGACGGCACGAGTGGGATGACACCGACACGCGGATCCAAAATGATGACCTCATCTTGATGCGAAACTGTGAACAATTATCTCTTATCTCTACAGCTGTCGCTGGTCAATACGACTCGGATCCGAGATGGAAACATTGGAGGCCCCGCTCCGCCTCTGAACCCCCGCCGACAAAATCTGGAGATTTAAAATGTTGGGCAATACCGAGGTTGCTCGAAAAGGAAGGGGGCCCATGCAACTGCTGAGTGACACAGTGAGGCACGAGTGAGACCAACTTCCCCAAACCCGCTAAAACATGCATGCGCACGCGCCCCAGCGGCGGGAAACGATTCTCCATGCCGCCTTCGCTGGACAAACCAAGCCGGATCCGAGATGGGGGAGGCGGGGTCTCAGCACCGCCTCTCGTTCTCCCCGCCGGCGCAGCCCCGAGCCAAAACTCCCGAACAGAGCCTGCATTCACACGGGCAAACGCAGAACACAAAGGATGGATCACTACGGAAGCGATGGCCTTCTGGGAACGGCTCGGGGCCAGCTCAGAAGCCCGAGAGGCGAAGAAGCGAGGGGAGTGGGCGTTTCTTGCCCGCTCGACTGGACACGCAAGGCCAAGCCGGGATCAGCCCGAATATTGGAGATGGGACGTCAAAAACGTACGAATTGACTGGGAAGCGGGCTAGGCGTCCATATTCTACAGATGAGGCAGGGGAACGGTGTAATCTGGAAGCTCTGCGATCTGGAACTCACTGGCGCCAAAAAAGCTTTGAAACGACTTAGAGCCGACGGGCAAGTGGCATTCGACAGCGCTGGACAATCAATCTCCGAAGGCCACGAGGCGAACTGAGGCCATGAAGCGAGACGCGCAGGGCATCAAGTCGACCTTCGCGGAGGCCCCGTCGCAGCATGGGCGGGTGATAAGTGGCCATGACAGAACAAACGCGCCGAACACGAGCACGAGCATGCACCGCTCGCTCAGCGGCAGTGGGAAGGGGCCATGACACCGTGAAGCCGCACAACATGATCGCGACGAATGTTTCCCCGCAGCGCTCGAGGTTGTCCTGCGGCCCCCTCGTGTGGGGGCCCGCGTGTTGGACTGCCTTGCACCCTTCGCGCACCGTTCGACTGAGCGGTCGGCTTTCTTTCCAACCTCCGCGCTTCCTGATCTCTGCTAGCATCCGCGCGCGAGTGGCCATGTCCTTATGCGCGGCGGGCGCCAGCTTCGGGCGCGTCGCGCAGCGCCCGCGGGGCAGGGCCCACGCGGCCCCCAGCGTGGGAGCCAGCCGGGACGACCACCCGTAGCCGAATGCGATCGCCACGTCAAACTCCTTCGCCTTGGACGGCACCTCCGCGGACTCGGGGTCGAGTTGCACTGTTGCACCGCCCAAAAAGTCGCCGCCCGCGAGGGTGTGAGCAAGCGCTCGGGCTGCAGCGCTATCAACTGGATCGGCCTTGCGCACGTAATCCACACCAGGCATATCAAAACGGCATCGTCGTATAGCCAAGAACCACCACGCCATTCACTAAGGCACACCAGCTGGGACACGCCTCGGGCATGCGAGATTTCGACGGGCACAGGTTCTGCCACCCCTTCAACGCGCGCCTGCTGCGGGACAAAATGTGGACACCATCTTT